GAGTGGACAAAAGTGACAAACCCAAACATTCGTTTCTGCTGGTATGGAATCCTAACATCTTGCACTGGTCCAAAATTCCTAAGGGAAAACAACAAACACGATCGTAGCCAGGCAAACATTAGTAGATATCGACCAAATTTTTGATGAGGCAAACGCATAAACAGCTTTGATCCAGTTGTGTTTATGAAAGATACCCAAAATAATTGGAGACATCTTCGTCTGTGAAGGAGCTGTCAGCTGGAAATGTCAAGTAAATCTGTTTAGAAGCAGAATTAGATTTATCTCCCATCCCCATAAACTCCTCCCTTTCGTGTCGGCCTGGACTACCGAACCAGTAACCCTCTTCCCCAAATTGCCCTGCTCGTCCTGATCTGCAAAAACAACCACCACCAAATGAAAACTAAGAAAGAAGCTATGATTGACTTACACAGTCGAATACAAAGACTTATTGCACTTGCATGATCCAAATTACTCCACAATACTTGAAACATATGGTTGACTTACACAATCAAATAAACCAAAGAGGAAAAAAGAGGCAAAGATTGGCATGTAAATGGACACCAAAAGTAGTAAACCATAGTAATATAAGCAATAATTGGCGTATAAATACACAAAGATAAAAACTTTCCATGAGCCACTGACAGAATTAGATTCTACACTCAAAATATGAAGTCTTTAGTAAGCAATTATGTTCACAAATGTAAAAAAGAGGTTCATTTCATGATTTACCTAAGCGCATTACGCTGATTCAAGAGGAAATTGATGCCTTTGTCATACGACATCGGAGAGCCACCAGCCGCCAAGTACTGAGCAGCGGCCATTCGCTGACGCTGAGCCAGTTTCATCCTCCCCATCTCCTCTTGCTGTCTAGAAACGTAATCAGGCGAGCCAAAAGCGCCGGGAGAATCGAAATCATCACCTAAACCACCACCACCGCCGTGTAGGAACCTACTATAACCGCCACCGCCAAATCCAGGTTCCTCTGAGCCGAAACAAGCATCACTGGCTGAGTAACTCCTCTTGTGCAAATGGGCATCGCCATTGTCAGCGGAGAACCCGAACGGATCCGCAGCAGCAGATTCGTCGTTGTTGTTCTTGGAAGACGATTCGTTGAGGAAGGACAAGTAGTTTCCAAGTTGCTGCTCATCGAGTAAATCGCCACTTGAGTCACCACCATCTGAAGCAAAAAGAGACGAACTTACTTGAAACGGGCTCGAAATCATGTTAGGGTTACTTCCAGGAGTGTTCACAGAAGGAGACAAAGGGTGGTTCCTCGAAAACTCCATAAACCCATTTCCCGTTCTCGGAGAATGACGGTGGATGTTAATGGGTCCGGAGAGAGGGTTCGACGCAGAAGAAGACCCAAGACCCAGAGCGGATTTAGCTTTGAGACAAACGGACTGTAAGAGGGTCTCTGGTCCAAGAGCCAAACGCATCAAATCTCTGTTATCCAAGTCCTGTAAAAGCAAGTAACCGATGATTTTCGAGGCAAAATCTGGTTCTAAAGTTCTGATCTTTGTGAAAAGTATCGAAGTAGGATCTTCCGGATCCATTGCCAGACTAAAAATTTCTTCTTTTTCTTTTTTCTTTCTCTGAGAAAGGAGATTGAGAAGGAGAAGAGACTCTTTATTGTGTGAGACTAGTGGGTTACTACTTGGTTTTTATTTTAGCATTGTTGTTGTCTTGTGCGGAGATTTGAGTATGATTTTGTCTTCTAATGAGCATTTATCGGAAAAAAGAAAGAGAAAAGAAAACTACTTTTTCGTAATGTTTTCTTTCTTCTCGGATTCTGTTTTAGGGTTTTTCAAGTTCGTCGAGACTCGGAGCGGGATTATAGTTAAGAAAATCGCATTTGTTTCGTTTTTTATTTTTCCTAAAGAATTTCTAATTAAGATTTTGTATAAGATAGTAATCTTTGTTTATTCGATAAACCTCTTCGTTAATTTCTATTTGGATGCATGATTTCTTTTGTTTCTTGATAGAGATTGGATGCATGAGTTTACAGAGTTTCATTTATTTTTGTGTAGTCAACTAGTTGAATTTAATTCCATGAAAAGTATACTATACTTTCAAAGTTTTTCCAAAGTTTGGTGTTTTTTTTGGGGTTTGATATACTATATAATTAATCTCTTAAAATAAATTAGATTTTATGCGTTACGAAATTATTGATTTGTAAAGTTCAATCAAACTTATACGTTTATTCAAATAATTTCCGTTTAATAAAAAGATGTGTTATTAAAACATTTTAGATTTGATTAATTATATAA